GAACACTGTGGACAATCCTTCACGCTTAGTACACAATTGTGTTTTATGACTGTCAGGGTGCCTTAACTGTTGACACCTGATTCAGGCTGGACATAGTGGACACACGCGTAGAACAAAGCACCACACAGAACAAGGTGCAGTCTGACATCTCATCTCTATGGAACCAGCTGCTGCCCCCATGCCAGAGTCATAGCAATGCTGCATAGCAACACCTGGGAAATGTTCTCATCCACTTCTCTGCACCTTTCTACAAGCCAGAACTGTGGCCGGAAGTCCAAGTTTCCTCTCTGCAAACTGGGCTTTGGATAAATGAGTACCTGAACGGCTATAATCACAATGTTTCATTCAAGTGTGAAGGACTGGGAAGAAGTTTGTGAGCAGGCAAAGCAGACAGGGCCATGCTGCTGTGCTAGGGTCTGACGGGGCTTGTGTAGCAACGGATCCCGTGAACCTTGAGTTTCTGCACTGAGAGGGACATGCTGCCAGGAATTCCCTCAGTGAGAAGCTAAGTATCAGGTCAGATCTCCCCGAATGAACAGAACATTTGTAAGGCCACTCTGGGGATGTTATAGAGATGATGTGAAGCCAAGAATGATATTAGGAGCCCTGGCCGGTGTGGCTCAGTGGGTTAGGCTTCCTCCCATGCACCAAACAGAAGGTTGCTGGTTCGATTCCCAGTCAGGGCACAGGCCTGGGTTGCAGGCTTGATCCCCAGTAGGGGGCGTGCAGGGGGCCGATGATGGATGTTTCTCTCTCTCTCAAAATCAATAAAAATATTTTTTAAGAAAAGAATGGCATGAGGAAACACATTGAACAATGTGAAACCCTCCGGAATTATGTTGATCTTAACAGTAAAAAAGTCAATTTTTTTTTTATCAGTAAGGAAACTCCTGTAGGAACAGGATTTTTTGTTGTTGTTTTGTTTCCATACTCGGAGACGCTGCAACGTAAGATACGATCGTCAGAGAAAGAAATGCCTGAAAGAGTTCTCTTTTTATTTTTCACTTTGTTTACTTTGTAAACACACATTGTCCCAATGAATCTATTTCCTGTTCACACAGTCTGGGTTCTGCAAATAATCAGTAATTATCTGCCTGTGAGAACGGCGCGTTGCGATGAACACCCATCCGTGGCTAACACGCGTGTAAGGATGATTCATTCGTGAACATCCGGGCTGGTGGTGTTTCTTATCATCTGAAGGATGTTTTTCTTCCAAATATAACTACACAAAAGATTGAGTCCGGCTGTAAGAGAGAGTGAACCCAGGTCCCTCTAGTTTTCTTGTGGGCTTCAGTATTGGTAAAATGCGTCAGCTCGCCCTGGCCAGTGTTGCTCAGTGGTTAGGGCGTCAGCCTGCAGCACAAAGGTCTGGAGTTCGGTTTCGGTCAAGGCCACGCACCTGGGCTGCAGGTTCCGTCCCTGCTCCTCGTCAGGGCGCGTGCAGGGGACAACCTGGTGTGTCTCTCTCACACCGATGTTTCTCTCTCTCCCTCTCTCCCTTCCACTCTCTCTAAAATAATCAGTGGAACCTCACGAAGGACATGCTCATTCTCCAAAATAAAAATTTAAATGAGAAATAAATCTGCAAACTTCTCTGTGGTAGTTGCAATTCTTTGTTTCCTCTTTCTGAAAACATGTGAGAGGCAGTGTCTATATTCAATATTTGTCCATGAAATAGGATTAATTCCTGAATAGTAGGATAATTTGGGGGGGGGGGGCT